TTATGGTTTGGGTATAAAACTTCCACCACAAGCTTATGTGTTTGAACACTTGGGCCCCTGTTAGTAGCACTGTTTTGGGAGGTTGTGAAAAACCTAGAAGTTGGTTTCTGGGGGCCAGGCCTTGAGGTTATGAAGCCAGTTCTGTTGCCTGTTCTGTCCCTGCTTCCTGATCCACCCAGATGTGAGCAAGCTCCCATTGCAACAGCAGCAAGCTGATTCCCACAGTCATGCGTTCACTGCATCCTCAAACTATGAGCCAAAGGAAAAAATCCTTCCTCCTTTTAGTTGTTTTTATTAAGTATTTGGTCACAACAATGAGAAAAGTAACTAAAACAATACTGAACCTTCAATTCATACTTGCAAAATACCTCAAAGTAAAAAATATATGAACAAATCGGGGCACACGCCTTTAATCCCAGCACCCGGGAGGTAGAGGTAGGTGGATCTCTGTGAGTTCAAGGCCAGCCTGGTCCACATAGTGAGTTCCAGGACAGCTGAGGCTACAGGGAGACCCTGTCTCATAAATATATATGTGTGAGTGTGTGTGTGTGCATGTATATGTATATATGTATATATATATGAACAAACCATGCATTCCATCACTTGAGAAACTGAGGCAGGATTATGATTTTTCAAGCCAACCCTGGGCTACATAGTGAAACTTTTTCTCAAAATAGTTTTTCTTTTCTTTTTTTCCTCCCCACATGGCCCTGCCACACACAAACCCCTCCCCCTCCTCAAAATAGTTTTCCTTTTAAAAAAAACAATAATTGCTAAACCCCATTAGTCATCAAAGATACAATCTTTTCAGTTATCATTTAGCTTGTTGCTGGAGATGGAGCAGCCAATTTGCCGCCATTAGGAAAAAGGGATGAGGCTAAATACCGTGTGCAGGATCCCGAGAACTTGTGTGAGGGGACAGCAGCAGCCTGGAGCCTACCACCAGATTTCTGATTGAGTAAAAGCTGAAACTCCTCTTTGTGAGAGCTGAATTTGAGGGCTTTGTCATTTATAGATAAACAAAACCTGATGCTTATGAGATGTTATTCATTTTAAACATTGACTAACTACCATCAAATTATATTGTATAAAAATCTCAAAAATTCAATAATTAAAAAAAATTTTAAGAACCTAGTGAATTATGTAGGAACAAAATCTGGTATGTATGTTTAAGACAAAAGATCTACTGAAATAAACCTGATAGATAGAAATGTTGGAGAGAGCGAGTGGGCGTGCAGATGGAGAGCACGAGCGGATGGATGAGACACCGAGGCACAGACGGAACTCTCAGCGGGATACAGATTTATTTTGCATGGGGCACCTTTCCCTTGGGGAAGGGAAAGATGTCAGCAAAGGGAAAGATGTCAGCAAAGGGAAAGATGTCAGGGAAGGGAAGGGAAGGGAAGGGAAGGGAAGGGAAGGGAAGGGAAGGGAAGG